AATCTAGTGATGGCAAAAGGTTTAAGACAGAACAAGTGAGATTGGGAGGAAAAATATGGGTTGAGAGAGTGTGACTCTGAGGTCAATAAGAGAAGTAGCTGGTCTAGAGAAGGTCAATCAGATCAGAACTGTAGAACATGTTATGAGTGTGGTAATCAAGGACATTTAAAATATAATTGTCTGAAGTTAAATAATCAAGAAATAAAGTCAGTTTCAAAAGCTGACTATAAAATCTCCAGAGAAAGACTGTTGCCACAAGGGAGTTCAGAGACTGCAGTTACCTTGGAAACAGCTGTTGAGAGATTAACTGACTTTGAAAACTCCCAGCTTCCAAGAGCTTTTTTATTTGTATCAACTGCACCACAAGAGATTAAATTTTCCCATAGCCAGAGGCCTGAAGGTCAGGTTGCCATGGAAATGAAAGACAGTGGCAGAAAGCCAGAGAATCAAATGAAACAGTTACCTCGACAAAGCCAGGTTGATACAACGAAGAAGGTAGTACAGCTAGAGAATAGAAAGAGCTTGATTCAAGAAAGAGATTTTAAATAAAGAAATAAATAAAAAGCTTTAACAAACTGAAGAAAAGCTAGATGATTCCTTGAAGAAATGCAGTGACAACAGAAAAACTGAATAGTTTTAAAGAAATGATTAAGAAGCAGGATGCTTCAATAATACCAATTCAACTAAAAATTAAACAGAAAGATGAAGTTATTTATACATTCAAAGAAGAAATAATTGCACTTGAGTCAGAAAAACATTCTTTACAAGGCCTTATAGAAGGAAATCAGAGAAAATTGTCATCCTTAAAGGAAGCTTAGAGATAGTAAAGAAAATACTATTTCAAATCTAGAGTGTTTAATTTCTGAGATAAAACATTCTAAACATTCTACTGAAGCCCTACACAGATATACAAAAGATATTACCAGACTACATAGATTGCTTGATTACACAAATGAGAACTTTATACAGAATGGCAGAGAGAAAGAGAACTTAATAAAAGAGAATGAGAAGCTACAAGAGCAACTATATGATTTTAAACAGAAAAATCAGATTCTATGGCAAAAAGTCAATAAAAGACAAAATGAACTTGATAACATGAAGTTAAAAATGGAGGATTTGTATACAGATATTGCCAGACTGGAAAGTATGCTGAACTCTAAAGACAAAGAAAATCAAAAGCTTTTTGAAAAATATCATAGGGACAATGAGCAGGCAGAAAGTTGGGATAAAAAGTATCACCATATGGAAGTGGATTACAATTCTATCTGACTTGAACTTCTCAATATAGAGTTTAAGAGCCACAAACTGAGAGAAAAGACAGTCTCCCGCCAACCTAGCAGTTCAAAAGCATGCAAATACAAGTAGATAAATAGGTACCACGTTGGTGGGAAGGTAAACAGTGTTCTGTGCAATCATGCTAGTCGCATGATCACATAGTAGTCTCTGACAATGCTGGCTCTTTGACTTACTAATGAGATAAGCACCACCCCCATTGATTGGACACGATGTGACAACCTTGTCAATGGGGAATACTTTTACCTTTTTAAAAAAAACCTGTAATGAAAATAATAAATAAGGGGGAGGAAATAAATGTTTTGATTAATAATAATCATTTTAATATTCCTAATGAGCCTAATGGAAAATTAAGTGAGATAATAAGTACAGGAAGTTTTAAAAATCTAGCTAAGAATAAAAGATTCATGAAAGTTTAAAATCTTTGTTTAAATTAGCAGAGGAAAAATCCTCAGCATTAAAGGAAACACATCTTTGCAGAATCAAAAAGACACAAAAAGAGGTTAAACAACAATTGAGCTCAGAAGAAACATATGAATCACAGAATTATACTTTAAGCAAGTCTCATAATAATGGAAGGGAAAAAAATCATAGATTTCTGCTGAATAAAGGTTCTGAACTTCCAGATGTGACATGTACTGGGAAACTATATATTAATTTAGACACTAACAAAGAAGTGTTAACCTGGTAACTAAAGAGTACAATCCTAGAGACTGAATGATTGCAAAAGGCTTCGGAGAACACTGAAAAAAGAGAACTAGAATAGATTGTCATGTGTATGGAAAACCTGCTAACATCTCTAGATGTAACTGTCTAGCATACCTATGAAGATAGAAAGACAGACAAGCAGTGGTTAGACAACAAAAGACATAAACCAACCAAGAAAGGAAATCCAGTGGAGAAAAAGAAACCAGGAAGCATGGTAACTTATGTACAAAAACAGATGACATCTTTAAGAGATGCTTTGCTGTGTGTTAGAGAAAGTTAACATAAACAGAAAGTGCAACATAAACAGAGGACTGTATTCAATGCAACAGTGGAAAATAAAGACTTTTTATCAGGAGATGAAGTGCTGATTCTTCAGCCGGTGAAAAGAAAGAAATTGGCATTCACAAGAACTGATCCAGTGAAAATTCCTGAGAAGGACAATGGTGTAAATGATATAATAGACTGGAAAACAGATGTAGTGTTGTATGCCATTAGAGCAATACGGGAGGAGCAACTTTCAAACCTGTATTGGGAATGGAGGAAAGTGCTTAAAGATAATCCTTTATCAGTCTTCACTCCAGAGAGAAGAGTTAGAAGATGGAGAGTGGTTGGTAGAAAGTTTAAGAGAAGCATATAAAAAATTTAAGATTAAGTTGGAATTAATTAGAATAATTGAAAACACAACTGACATGTTTTATACCTAGAATATAAATAATATGATAAGCTTCTAAGCTGAATGTGATAAGAGAATATAATACATAGAGGAAACATTGAAAATAAATATATATTTAAATAATTTTAAATATAGCTGAAGATAAGGTAAGAAAAAACCCCAATGTATCAAAAATTAAAGTGATCTCATGTATGTATTGTAAGTATAAAGTAGGTATGAAAATGTATTATATGTTCTGTAATGTTATGATTGGCATTAATATAAATGGTAAGTATAAAACTGCAAAAATGTTTAGGAATGATATATGGTTCTCATTGACACACACAAACTTAAAAGGAGCTTGTATGTGTCACTGACTTTTTTTTAAGGAGGAGGTGTGTGGAGAGAATGCAGAATAGAGTCAGTCTTAGCTATAGCCAACAGAATGTGAGCTGGCAGCAGTCAATCAAATTGAAGGCTGGAGAGGATAAATAGTCAGTGATAACTGAATTTAGGTAGGGTGTCAGATAGGGACTGTGAGCAGAAAAGTCCAGTAGTGAGGGACTTGTTTCTGAGGTAGAGAAGAGCCATTGTTGACTAGTCCCAGCAGCTGGGGAGACATCATTTCAACTGTCATTGCTGTGGCCTCTGAGAGAGAGAAGAGCCATCATTGCCTAATCCTAGCAGTTGGTGAGGCATCCTCCATCCATTCCAACTACCATTGCTATGGCCTCTAAGAGAGATAAGAGCCATCAGATGAGAGACTGAAGATCAAAGAGACCATCAGGGGGCTGTAGGAAGGAAGAGGCTGCTGTGTTTGCTACTGCCTTGGACTCTGCTTCCCTCTGTGGTCTAGATCAGGGGTCAGCAACCTATGGCCCACGGGCCGGGGCCAGCCCCCCGGGACCTTTGGCCCACCCCCACCAACCCCCACTGACACCACCACCGACCCCTGCTAACGCCACGTGCACTGCCACCAAGTCACCACCGTGCACATCGCAGCTGCCATTTTGTTTTCCAAAATGGCGACTGCGACTCGTTCGCACATGCACAGTATTCCTGCGCATGCGCAAACAAGCCGTGGCTGCCATTTTGGAAAACATTTTCCCCCACACCATTGGCCCACGGAAGACCTGGGGATTCCTGGACTGGCCCCAGATAAGGGGAATTTGCTGACCCCTGGTCTAAATCATTGCAGGACTGAAGCCCTGATTCAGCAGGCACTGCCTTTTATACTTGCAATTTATTCTTGCACTGGATATAGAGGGCAAAGGTTTGTCCTTTTGCTGGACAGAGGCAAGGGTCTGTTACCTGCATTACCTTCTTGGCCTCAAAGGGAGAGAGGCAGAAATAGAGCCATCCCTCCAGTCCATCTGCCATGGTCCAGGCTTCAGAAGAAGAGAAGAACTGCTGGACCTGATAACCTTCCCCATTGCCATTCCCTTCTCCTTTTGTGTCATGCATTTTTAGATTCTAACCCTGAGGGCAGGGAAATGTCTAATTAACTATGTGTAAACTGCTATGAGAGCCTTTGTGGCTGAAGAGCAGGGTATAACTACTCCAAATAAATAAATAAAAAATAGTTCCAGTAGAGAACTCCAAGTGAGGGAGTTACTGGAATTTGATATCCTGTGGGATTATAAATAGTCTGGGTGGCTAGTGTAGTAAGAAGTTCAGGAAGATGACCAAAGTTCAGGATGGTGTGAATCCTAGATGAGAGTAACTGGTGAACTTGAGATAGAGTTGTGTAACAAATTGTAACAAGGACAAGTGCATTTGTATTAGTATTAAATGAAACCATGTTTAAAACAGTCTTTCAAATAATGTTTTATTGCTATTCAATAACAAGCTTGTCTGTGTCTGAAATAAATAACCATTCTACTAGGTATCATCTGAAAGTAAATTAAAAAAAGCAGTTTGGGTTGTTTTTGTGTCAAATTGGTGGCAGCAAGGAGATAAAAAAATCAGCTTTGGGCTGCCATTCTAGAAACAGTAAAAGTACTCATAACAGGGAAGTCAGTGAGGGTCAAGCCACCAGGTATGCAAAATCATGGATAGGTTTGGCATTGTTTATAACTATGCATAAATGCATAGGTATATTTTCCCATATGAATAGCAAAGTTTAATGCTCATGACACAAAGAAATGGAGGGCAGATGGAGAAACCATCAGGATAGTTAATCCTGTTTCCAGATTTGGTGGTGGTGTGTGCCTTCAAATATTTTTTGACTTGTGGTGACCCTAAGGAAGTCCTATCATGGGTTTTTCTTGGCAAGATTTGTTCAGAGGAGTTTTGCCCTTGCCTTCTTCTATGGCTGAGAGCATGTGAGTTGCCCAAGGGCACCCAGTGGCCAAATGGAGATTCGAACCCTGGTCTCCACAGTCATAGTCAAATGCTCAAACCACTATGCCATGCTGACTCTCAGTGTTACTTATACAGCTTTCACCACGCTGACCTTCAATAGGTACATAATCCCATTTGGGTGATGTGAAGCATGACTGGAGGTATTTTGGGGGATGGAAAAAATTAATAAGGAAAAATATTGGCAATAAGCATAGTCAAATAGGTTACTGGGTAGACAAATAGCCAACCAACAGTCAATAAGCACTGAGTATAACATACCAGACAAATACCATGTTTTCTCACTTACTATCTATGGAGTTTTAGTCTATGAACCTTGGCATGATGAGGGACAGGCGGTAGACAGAAAATGTGGAAAAGAAAGTTCATTTGGACACTGCTAAAGTTTTTAACAAATATTTTAAATATTTAAAAACAACAGCAGGACTCATTCAGACAGGCCAAATGTGTTGGGATAGGGATGGCCACAATATTCAAAAGCTATTTGAAAAATAGTTGGGGGGAAAAAACTTTCTCAAGGGTCAGGAAAATAACAGATGATAATGTTCACACTTTGGGACTAATTTGCACATGCCAAGTCATTTTGGCACAGTAAACAACATTTTCTGCACAGCAAAGTAATGTTTCTGAACAGAATGCTGTTTTCTATGCAATATGTGAATTGCAGAATAAACTGAAAACTTCAAATTGTTGGGCGGCGGCGGGAGAAGCCACGTTTCAGGGCCCCCGCCCTTCCTCCTCCCCCAGCAAGTGGTGTTTTGGCGGCGGCGCAAGCAGCCTTCAAAGGGCCGGAAGACCTGGGCCTATAAAAGGCCCCAGCGAGCCCTCCTCGGCCGGCAACGACGGGAGAAGCCGTGTTCCAGGGCCCCCACCCTTCCTCCTCCCCCAGCAAGTGGCGTTTTGGTGGCGGCGCAAGCGGCCTTCAAAGGGCCGGAAGACCCGGGCCTATAAAAGGCCCCAGCGAGCCCTCCTCGGCCGGCGGCGGCAGGAGAAGATGCTTTCCAGGGCCCCCACCCTTCCACCTCCCCCAGCAAGTGGCATTTTGGCGGTGGCAGTGGTGGCGCAAGTGGCCTTCAAAGGTCCGGAAGACCTGGGTCTATAAAAGGCCCCAGCGAGCCCTTTATAGTTGTTTTTAGTGTTTTTTATTCACTATTTGATTAGCGAGTTTATTTGCCACCTTTGTCTTTCTTATTCCTTAATACTACAGTTGGGGTGCTTTAGCTCAAGTTCCGCTTGGGTAGATATTTGAACAATCTTGGAAAGCATGGCTGCCAAGAAGAGTGTTAAGCGGAAAAGGAGGTTAACCAAAAAAGAAGTCTGTATAAATGTTAAAAGGACTACGAAACTTGCTAAGAATTCAATAGTGAGTTCACTGAACCCAGAGTTATTGGAGGCAGCCACCACTTTGAAACAACTAAAAATGGAGGAGTTGTTCCCGTCCAAAGATAATGATAAGTCCATTTCTGAAACATCTTCTCTCTCTTTGCATGAAGAACAAGCTCCAAATCCTGGCACAGATATTGGTACCATTCATATGCCTGACTTAGACATCGTAGCGAGGAACTGTTTACTTACTGCCAGAACAGTAATTGCTATTTTTGACAAGTTAACAAGCATAGACCAGAAACTTGATAGAATTAAAGAACTCATGACTAAGCCCAAATACTTAACAAAACTAGGAGCAACATCCAATAAAAAAGACTCCGAACAAATCCAAAACAAAGCTAAAGCTAGGAGCAATGATAACTTAGTGCTATTGCAAAATAGCGTAGCTCTATTCGTGGCCAATAATCATCACAATTATGACAGGTGGCATAATAAGGCTGCCATATTACATTCACTTTCTCTTCTTTTGCATCGACATCTGCAATATAATGAGCTGCTTGGAATTGATTGGCTCCCTTTCTATAACAACACCAAAAGAATTGTTTTGCGGTTTAATAATGCTACAATACCCTCCCTGATTCTGAAAATTTGGAGTTCATTTAGGGAATTTTCAATTATGCCAGTACGTGTCTTTCGTAATTCCAACATTCAGCCTTTGTTGAGGACTAATTCAAGACGTGAAGCATCCCATCAGAAGGCGAACTCCAATGAAGACGTCAGGAGGATAACACCAATTTCTGAGAGTCTTTTTGATGATGATGGAAAATTGGCTGAGATGTTTGACTCTCTTCCTGACAAGGACCAAAAGCAAGTACTAAACAGGTTTGATGTAGTCAAATCCATGCTAATGTCAGTAACTACGGCAACCAAAAAAATTAAGGACATATTACCTATCAGCTGTTCCTTAATGGATCCCTTGTCACAATCCAAAAATGGACTCAAACGGTGCAGTGATGAGGAGGAGGATGATATGATTCCCCTAATGTATATGTCTCCTAAACGCCCAATGGACTGTTGGGCGGATCCTCTTATTCCATTAACTCAAACTTCTCCCAAACATATGACTGGTCACCACAATGAGCCTCTGCAATTAATAACTTTGAACACTCCCAAGTCTATTATGATTACACAATCACCTGAGATTAAGAAAAGTAGATGTCTCA